CCTGTTCATGCAGCCGGCCTGTGGCAGTGCCCCCTTTGAAAGCCAGCATTTTCTTCTCCCACCACTGGCTGCTGTGTCCTTTAACCCCGCCCTCCCCCGATCTGCTGTTCAAATCTACATGGGAGGTATGTGTCCAGGTGCAAGTCAAATATTCGAACCAGAGCATGAGGATGGATTTTCAAAGCAAATCCTCCGGCGTAGCCTCTCAGCTTCCCACACAGTCATACTCCTAGAGGCTTGCAGTGAGGGCCCTGCAGGCTCCAACCATCCTAGCACAAAAACCAGCCAGAGAAAAGGACTCAGAGGCCAAAGCACCTATTCCTGCCTCCTCCAGTTGTTTCACGCCTTTCTGCAGAAGGCAGAGGCAGCCTGTTGTCTCAGAGCCTCTGTTTTCTTGCATACACAGTGTAAGACAGGTTTGATATCTGCTTGACACCATTCAAGGAAAGACATCTGCTCTGCTGCACACTGATAGCAGAGACCCTGCATTCCCAAGGCTCGGTAAACCCCCACCCCCGAGACCCCGTCTGTGGATCCCTCAAGGAGGAAGGGGTCACAATCTAGTGACCCTCTGGGCACAAGTGGCTCTGGTTGTGATAGATGCCACAGGAGATGTGACTCTCAGCCATCCTGTGCACCTCCCCCAGAGGACTGAGACCTCTGGGACACTGGAGTTCAAGGACCATGTGTTTTTCCACTCCTGTTATCTCCAGCACCCTGTGAGGTATCCAGGACAAAACAAAGTCCCCATAAACACTGGCTCCTATGGAATCAAAGCAACCCAGCGGTCTCTACAAACTTTAACCACCGAAGAAGCAGTGAATTCCAGACCTTTCAATGATATGTGATGTTGGGTCTCCCACAAAAACATCAAGGTGCGAGTGGATGGAAATAAGTGGGTCTGGAGACGAGGGAGCATAAAGGGTTAAAGCATCACTCTGGTGGTGTTCCCCTGGGGCTCATAGCTTTGCATTAAATCTAACAGAATAATATCTAAGGCCACTTTCCATTCATAGATGAGGAGGTCGCTCTTTGCAATCTGCACACAGGAGCCCCAAGACATCACAATAAATGCACAGTCGCATGTGAGACCTCCCCTCTCCAAGCCCAGCACTGAGAAATGCTGGCAAACATCTGACCAAATGAGAGAGGAATCAGAAAGACAGGAAGCCACCCTGTCAGGGAGAAGGGAGGAGCTTGAGACTTGGGGGGGCATGCTCATCATGCTGTGGCCCCCCATGCAGACTAGTTCTGAGAAAGAATCCATCCGAGTAAACGTAAAGGATGTGAGATCTCCTTCACACAGAGGCCCCAGGTGACTGTCAGCCGCACACTACAGCTTCTTGTTTTGCCTAGAGTGAAACTGAGACCCAGGACCCAGAATAGCTTGGGTGCCACATTGCAAAGCAATGAAGCCCTGGCACGAGACTCAGAAGCAGGCTCTCACCGGGGTCACGTCTGGGTTCTTCTGACCAAATTAGAACAGACAAGCAAGCTCTGCAGTTCTTGCTCCAGTGTTGGGGAATGCAGTTTCCATGTGGGTCATGCAACCGATCACAAGGACCTGAGAGTCTGATTCTGGGTTTCTCTGACCAGGCCTGCTCTCCGTGCACAAAGCAGTCACTGGGAAGTACTTCTAGAAGTCTCCCTGGATAGTGGTCTCAATTCCCAGTTTTCAGTAACTTACAATCAGCTCAAGTCCAAAAAAATATTACATAGAAAATTCTAGAACTTTTAAACTCATAGGTTTGAACCAACCTGTTGCTGAATACTGTTATAATTGCTACATTTGTTGCTAGTTAACGGGTTAATCTCTTGCTGTAGCTTAAGTAAAATTTGGACATTGTCACAACACTCCACTGTAGCTAAGGTCTTGGATATCTACCCGGATCTTGGGAAATATCTGTGGATAAGAGACCATTGTACATGCACAAGTGATGGGTGGACTTTACTCTTTTCTTTTTCTGTTTGCTTTTTGGAGACTGGGAAAGGCTTGGGTTGAAAGTTAAGGTTCAGCTTCCACCAAACAATGGCCCTATCCAAATACAACCCCCCCCCTCCAGTCAACAGTACCAGCCAGGTAAATTGATGGGGGGGGAGGTAAGATATCAAAGGCATGCAACCAGAGGTCCTTTCCAGGGGAGAACTGCCCAACACTTGTTTCCAGGGTAGAGTCCTGACAAGACAGGCTTCTTGGTGGAAGAGGTGACGGAGATTCACTTGTCAAAAAGTCATATTGAGGATCTAGGATCCCAAGATATCTATTTTTGTTTTTCTAGACCAATACATGGATAATTTCCCCAAGCCCTGAAGGGGGTGGGTGGGTGGAGAGGGGAATCAAAGAGTCCTGACTTTAGTGACAACCAACTGTTCAGAGGTCCCAACCTGAGAAGTGTAGGCATCCGGGCAGCCTGCACCTGTAGATTAGATCACAGCAGGGTCTACAAATAGCTCAGAGAAAACCAGCTTCTGCTTGCTGTTGCAGGTTTGCAAGCTCAAACCTCCCTGGCCACTTCCAGCAGCACTTCTAGCCGTTTTCCAGCTCCAGGATGTTGCTCCCTGAAGCAAAGCCAGCATGGAGAAGCCCCTGCTAAGCCCAGGCCCTGGCTTTGATGGTCAGTATGATCTCAAAAAAAAAAAGACAGGAAAAGGGAATGTCAGAAAGCACAGGGAAGAAGCCTGCTGTTCGTTCTTTTATTCCTTTAGCCAGCTCCTGTCCACACACATGCACACATACAAGCATATTGTAAGCATATGTTTGCACGGTATACATCTACACGCAGGATTCATTTTGGAGCCTGTAGTAATGACTCCACTTTACAGATTAGGAAACTGAGGCTCCGAGATGCTAAATCACATCTTTACAGCTAAGGTCTCCACCCTACATCCAGTTTTAGGCACACGCGGGAGACCCAGACGATGAATTTTAGCTTTGTTTTTTTCAGCCAATCACGGAAGTTGAGAAAATGACAAGGTTTTGTTGTTTGGGCAGGAAGGGGAAGTGCAGGGAGGATCAGAGGCCCAGCAAGCCCTGAGGCTTTGGTCTTCCTTTCTCAGTTTAGCCCAGCCGTAGTTTCCAAAGAAGCCGGCAGGGGGCAGTGCCTCTCTCTTTTTCAAACTCGGGGACTCTCTGGGCCATCAACCAAGAAGGAAAATCAGGGGACACCGCCCCCGGTTTCCAGAGACACGCACACTGACTTAGCGAGGGAGGTAGTAGGTGCTCAGCGCGCTCCTAGAAGCCGCCGGATGAATTTAAATTTACTAGTAACGGTAAGGTATGAGGGGCGTTCCGACTCCGGCCAGAGCCTTCTGTCCTAGAGGCCTTTGCAACTGCACGCAGTATTATCGCCTACTACGGGCGAGGAGCGGCGGCAGAGATCGCACAGCCTTGTCCCCGGCTCCTGGCAGTTTTCCTGCCCCTCACCTGCTGCAGAAAGGGGCGAGCGCTTTATCTCACCACAAGTCCACGAGGGCGTGGGGACGCGCGACAGCTGTAAGCTGGGAGAGGAGGGGCTCCCCATAAACACAGTGAAATTCTAGCGACTGAGCGAGCTTGTTCCTGTCCTCGGGGTCACTGATGTCTCCTGGGACTCAGCCTCCGAGATGCCATCCCAGCCCCCACTCACCCGCGAACTCCTGGGCGCGCACGTCCTCTCAAGGAGTGCCACCAATTCCTACTGGCCGTAGGAGCTGGCTAGGACCCTTGTGCAAGAGGCTGGAGAAACTCCAGGTTCCAGCAGACAGGGGTGGGGGTAATGGGTCGGGACACCCTTTCCCGAAACGCCGCTGAGTCAAGGCGATGACGCCTTACCTGTACCACGCTGGGGGCAGCGGTCAGCTCGATGCCCATCTCGAGTTCAGCCGCGCTGCCTCCTGCAAGGTCACGCTCAAACACTCACGCGTAGGAAAACAAGCAAGCAAGCAAGCAAACAAACAAAAACCTGCGAGGGCTGAAAGTTGCTTGCTCAAAGGTCGGATTCGGAGCTAACAGTACTCCAACCAAGTCGCCTTGTGCGGTGTCAAAGATTCCCACCCCAGCGCACTTATCAAAGGGGCGGACGGTGTCCTGCGCATGTCACACTACAGAGACACAGACAAGTTGCTAACTTTTGTCACATTATTTCTTGGCAGCTGCGGCGCCTAACCGGGTTGGGGCAGACTCCCAAGTTTCGAGTTGCCACCGCCCGCTCCCTTTGCCCACGCTAATCCACCCTTTTTCCAACGCACCTCATCCAGTTGTCCTGTGCTAAGAGCCAACTTCTCCCGGAGATCCGGCGCAGCGCGGGATTAGAAGTGTCCCGGGGGCCAACAGCCTCCTCCCGGGTCTGTGCCTGCTCACAGCGGATTGGGAGACTCCATCCGGACACTGTCCCACTATCTCTGGGCTAGATAACCAACGGCCTTCAAGCGTCCCCACAGTGTCCCAGCCCAAGACCTCAGCTTCTCTAGAGAGTGTGGGCAAGCAGCGCCTGATGGAGTCTTTTACCCGCGGCCCCGGAGAGGAGCTACTGCGGTGCTGGGTACAATCAATGTCACCGCGGCCGCTCCGGGAATCGCTGCCACAGTCACCATGGGCTCCCCCGCTGAGCTCCGGGGGCTCCTGCGGTAAGCGCCAAAGAGCCTGGAACCTGAGCTGGAGTCTCCGCCCTGACACTCTCCCTGAGACCACCGTGGTGGCCTTGGCTGAGACGGAGATCTCTCTCCTCGTGTCTCCCTCTTCGCGCCTAGGGTCTTCGGCCCCATTTCACTGCCACACCTTCCTAGCCCCTACCCCACCCCTTCTGATCCGGGGTCGGGTCCGGACGGCCACCGCTGCACTCAGAGAACACACGCCGAATTTCCCGAGCCCCAACTCACGAGGCGGCGCCGTCCCTGGGGCACCCGGACAGCGACCAGCTGGGTGCGCACTCACCCAAGCCGGAGACACGCCGGAGTTGCCCGGCTTGGGGTACAGAGGAGGTTCGGAGAGGTATCTAAGGAGATGTGTCCGGAATACTCACCCGGACCAGCGCGCACCTCCGGGTCCTCCTCTACCTCCTCTTCTGTCTCCTCCTCTCTCTTCCCTCCGATCTAGGGCTCTTTGTCTTTGCAAAGTGTCGAAACTGTCTGGCATAGTGGGCTCCGCCGGCCGAGGCTAGCGCCGGGGAAGCGGGAGGCGGGGTGAGGATGGGAGCGGCCTCTGGAACACCTTCCCCCGAGTGTAACGGGAGTCGGAGGCGGGGCGTCCGGTGAGGGGCCGCCTTCGCCCGCCGGCTGGGACCAAGCGGCGACTTGGGCGCGCCCAGCCCCGCGGCCGCCTCCACGGCGCGCAGCCCTCCCCTTCCTCCGCCCAGCGCCCGCCCCTCGGAGTCCCGGCGCCCCTCCGCCCCTCCCGCCGGCCTCGGCTCGGCTTTCCCCTTGCTTGGGGCTTCCTGCAAGCCCCATATATCTCTGCCGAGCCACGTGGACCGCAGCGGGCTGGGTGGAGGCCGGACCGGCCTAAGAGACGCCGGAGGAGGCGGCGCGGGGACTGGATCGCCGCCCCGAGAGAGGGGCTCTGCGGGAACAGCGGGCGAGGCTAGGGAAGAACTCCCCAGAGGCTTAAAGCTCGTGGGGTCAACCCCGGGGACAAGGCGATGGGCGTGCACCGAGAGGACGTGGCTAGCGGTGCCCAGAAGATCCCTAGTCGGGTGTGCGGTGGAGAGAGGTGGTGACCCCCACCCCGCAGAGCCACGGCTTCCTCTAAGGGCGTGGGACTCTAGGTGGGATCTAGGGGGGCTGGGAGAGGGGCAGGGCGGCGTTAGGGATCGCGGCTACTAGAGCTTTGGCGCTACCAGGACTCGGAGCCGCAGAACCCGACTCCGGAGCATCCACATCCCCGCCCTTCTAGCCTGCTCGCCGCGGGTGTTTTCCTAGGGGATGAACAGGCAGCAGCGTGGCCCCCAGCTGGGCTAAGTGGGAACTTGAGTTACCGGTGTTCCCAAGGCAGTTTGAGGCTGGGGGATTTGGTTTGGGTACTAGGCTTGCGGGTTTTCGGTCCCTTTCTGTTTTAATAGGTAAGTGAGGCTGCTGGATAGGCGATTTATCGAGTGCGGGTCATGGACCCTAAATAGTAGGTTTGAAAAAGCATTTTCTGAAATCTTCTGTTGTCAGTTCGTATCCTCTCACTGGGACTATCTCCCCTGGAAACTTTTTAGTGGAACGTTAAGAGGACAGACGGGGTGAGTGCGCAGGAATCTTTCCGTTTTCAGCTGAGGCTTCTGGCGTAAACATTTGCTAGTGGAGAAGGCTAGGGCTGCCCAGCTGCTCACTCATCAGCAGATTGTAATGTTAGGGGAGAATTTGCGGCGCTTTCTCTACCGCTGTTGAGCTTGGGCTCATCGGAGATGTCCTCTGGTTCCTGGGTTTGGTTGGTGCCTTGAAGTCCTCCCTTGCAAATAGCCCTAATCGCGGACTGTTTGCTAGGGGTTGCTGTGCTGAGCAAGAGGACTCAGACATGCAGAGCTCCGGAAACTGTCCTTGACATCTTCTAAGAGCTCAGCCCAAGCCCGCTGCAGGAGGCGGAAGGAGAGGGTTTCAACTGTGCTCCTGACCTGCCTCGATAGGGTGGAGGCATTGTGTAAGACCCGGGGAAGCAGAGTCGATTAGAAGGGAGGAAGGGAGGACCAGCAAAGAGAAAACGAACTACCAGAAAAGGAAAGAAAGGAATCGAGACCCACAAGTTCCACTTGTCAGGGGGTGGGGGAGTGATGTGCAAGATGTCCTTCCTTCAGGTACAGGTAAGTCTCGCTGGGGCCTTACCCGTCACTTGATTGCCCCTACCCTCTGGAATTTGAGAGGCGGGGTCTCCAAGGGGTTCTATGACCCGTGCTGAGTACTCTTCCCTGTTATCCTAGGTTGACTTGGGTTTCCATGCTACACAGGAGTGAGGTCTGTCCCATGCGGAAGTGTGTCTGTAAGCTCTGGTCAGACTGCAGCGCCTGGCATTCTTTTGTGTGCATGGGAGAGGAGAGCAGAGTTCCAATCCTGTCAACTACTATCCCTCATAGCACAGCATCTTCCAACCATATCTAGTGTAGGCCACTTAGATTCTTGGTACCCAGAGACACAGTTTGGAGTAGGGACACACACCCCGGCAGCCCTCAGAATGCAGTTTAAATGGTCACCTAGCTGGATCTCACTGCCAAGGACAGAGCCCTGTGGTTCGCAAAGCTGTATCTGCTGACTATGCCTCCGTGGCTGAGGAACGCTGCTGCTTCCTGATGGCTGCAGCCATCACAGGGTAGTAAGGAAGTGGTGGGTAAATTATTCTTGCAAGGAACCCTGAGCACATAGGGAATCACTTAGGAAAATGGAACCACACTGTGTGGATAGAAGGCTACCATTGTATTCTAATGGGTTCCATGGAGGGAGGTTTAGATTAGGCAAATTAATAGCCCCAAGGCATCCAGCTGTAGCCCCATGCTTTTGAGAGCCCATGTTTCTACCCCCAGATTCTCAGTGGGTCCCTGGATGACTTCAAAAGGGACTTAGGTGACCTCTGGTGATTATGCATAAGCCCCAGCCTTATCTACATGGAATGTATCTACTTCTAGTAAGGAAATGCAAGTAGGACCCTTTTAAATGCATCCACTCCCTTGTCTTATTACAACAAACTGATTTCTAGGCAACAGCACAGGCCTTCCATCTTCTTCCTTTCTTTTCTGTTCTTCCTCTTTTTTTTTTTTTTTTTTTTTGAGTTGTGATATTCTGTGCAGGCAGCACTTTAGACACCCTGGACCATTTCCTGAAGCAAGGGAAACAGGCTGCATGCCAAGGGTGGATGTATGGGTTCCTCCTTGTCACCCTGATCATGTCTCCCAACATGCCCTGCTGGGGAGCCACTGGAAGTAGTCATTACTGGGAGTGCCTGCACAACGGGTCTCCCGGGGAGCCCTGACATGGATTTAGTGCACACTGCCACCTCCCCGCGAGTTCAGAGCACAGCAAAGCCGGCTTACTGATGGCTCAGGAAACTGATCTTTCTCTTTCCCCTTCCCCCTTTGCTGGCACACTGGAGTGGAAAAGTACTAATGCGTTCCAATCCCACTGGGCGATTGTGCAGAAAAGAGAAGGCTGGTGGGTCTTGCTGGAGGCCCTCAGAGGGGCTGGCACAGGCCAGTTTGTGTTTGGGGGTGATGCTTTCTTGGGTCTCAGGGCTATGAGGACTTCCTGAAGTCTCCTTGGTGGTTAACGGAGAAGTGGTCAAAGCCATGCTGCTTGGGAAGCTGGAAGGAGAAGTTCTCTCTCTCTCTCTCTCTCTCTCTCTCTCTCTCTCTGTGTGTGTGTGTGTGTGTGTGTGTGTGTGTGTGTGTGTGTGTTTTCCTAGGGAGATGCACAGAAGCCTATTAACACCCACATAGAGAGGTCACTGACAGCCTGTAGAAATTATCCCATTAAAGTTTAGCCCAGGGAACCGACACATTGATGGGTTGGCTTAGATGGAGTCTGGGCGTCAGAAAGATAGCATCACTGGAGTTTGCTACACAATGTGCAGATAGTTACTACACCAAAGAGTTCTCTCCCCTCTGCAATTGCTAGCTGCTTATGTCATCTCAGGAAAGGGCCCCACACGTCCTATAAACTGCTTATGGGGTTTCATGAGCTTCCACCTTACCTCCTGAAGGAAGGTTTCCAACATGAAAGGAGCAGTTACACAGCTCTGTGTGTGTGTGTGTATGGTGTGTGAGTATGTGTCTGTGTGTGTGTGGTGTGTGTGTGTATGTGTATGGTGTGTGAGTATGTGTGTGTATGGTGTGGGTGTGTGTGGTGTGGGTGTGTGTGTGTGTATGGTGTGGGTGTGTGTGGTGTGGGTGTGTCTGTGTGTATGGTGTGGGTGTGTGTGGTGTGTGTGTGTGTGTGTGTGTGTGTGTGTATGGTGTGGGTGGGTGTGTGGTGGCTTTCTTTCTCTTCTTTCTTTGAATGAGGGTTTTGGTTTTGTGTTTTACCTTGGCTTCTGATGGCACTGTAACAGTAGAGACAGTTATTTACTTCCATTCCCTGGCTGTTGATCCCATCAATATTTGACTTTGTTCAGGAGAGAAATCACATTGACAAATCCATCCAGGAGTTAATGGGGTCACAGGCAGCCAAGCACCGTGCGTCTGTCACTGATGGAGAAGAAGAGCTTCTAGATGTGGCCTTTGAGGGAATGGAGTGAACATGGCATGTTAGCCCCCTCCAACCCTGGGAATCCCAAAGGGCTCTCTAGCCAGCAGGACCTCTGTGCTCGGTCATTCCCAAACCCATAGTCCCATTGGTGTCAGATTCCCAGGCCCACCTAGCAAACAATTGGTGCCAGTCATTTGTGACTACCCAATGAGAAATTCCTGAAGTCTCCTTGGGAAAAGTGGTTCCCAAGCATTGTGGCTTGGGAAGCTGGAAGGGGAGACTGCTTCATGCTGGCTCCTGTGTGTGTGATGAGAATTAAAGTGTTGAGGATAAGCTTTAATATTAGTGAGAGCCACCAGATAAGAGAGGTAAATGTGCTTGACTTCTGGGCAGGATGCTTGGTTCCATGGCAGAGCAGTTGTCTAGCATGTGTGAGGTGTGGGTTCGATTTACAGAACTGCATTTAAAAAAAGGGGGGATGGGGAGGAAAGGCAAATGTTGGAATAGACCCAGAAAGCTCTTGTTCACTTGCATAAAAACAGGTTATTTTATTTGTTAATTTGGGGGGCACTCGTGTAGAGGTCAGAGAACAACCTGCACCAGTTGGTTAGCTTTACCATGTCAGTCCTTGGGATCAAACAGGTCATAAGAGTCGGTGACAAATGTCTTTGCCAGCTGAGCCATCTCACTGGCCTAAATAGGAAAAGTTTAATTCATTTTCTCTGTTATATATCTTGTACTCATGAAATAAGCCAGTTTGGAAGACCAGTGGGTGGTGTTCACCAATTATGTGCACTAAGATCCCAAGTTAAGGTTTGATCACAGTATGTAAATAGTGAGAGATTCTCTGTATCTGTAAGGGGTGGTACCTTGTGGGAGGTCTTTAGGTCATTGGAGAATGCTCTGTTTAGACCTATGCTGCTCCTGATATGGGATGTCCTTCTGTATGTTGTGAATATGTGTTCTCATTGGTTGATAAGTAAAGCTGGTTTGGCCAGTGGCCAAACGTAATGTAGCTAGGCAGGCAGTCCAAACAAAGATGGAGAAGGAAAGAAGATGGAGTCAGAGAGGTGTCATGTAGCCACCAGGGAAGCAAGATGTGAGGTAACAAGCCACAAGCATCATGGTAAAATATAACCTAAAAGTGTTAATTGTGAGAACTAGTTAGT